TAAAACCAATCTGTGTACACATACATGATAGGAGAGAGACAGGTGGATGATGATGCCGATGCTGATGCTGATGCTGATGAAGGCGATGATAATGATGATGCTGATGATGATGATGATGATGATGATGATGATGGTGATGATGATGCGGCTGATGATGATGATGATGATGATGATGATGCTGATGCTGATGCTGATGATGCAGATAATGCTGATGATGATGCTGCTGATGATGCTGCTGATGATGTTGATGATGACGCTGATGATGATGATTATGATGATGATGCTGATGATGATGATGATGATGACGGCGATGACGACGACCATGCTGATGATGTTGCTGTTGGCGATGATGATGATGATGATGATGATGATGATGATGATGATGATGATGATGGTGATGATGATGGTGATGATGATGATGCTGATGCTGATGATGATGATGATGATGATGATGATGATGATGATGATGATGATGATGATGATACTGATACTGATACTGATACTGATACTGATACTGATACTGATACTGATACTGATACTGACACTGATGATGCTAATGATGATGATGATGATGATGATGATGATGATGATGATGATGATGATGATGATGATGATGATGATGATGATGATGATGATGATGATGATGATGATGATGATGATGAGGAGGAGGAGGAGGAGGAGGAGGAGGAGGAGGAGGAGGAGGTGGAGGAGGAATGGAATGGAATGGACGGAACGTGCGAGGACGAGAAGGATGAGCAGGCGTGGTGAAAAGGGGGGAGATGTGGAGATGGTGGAGGGTATCAGGAAGAGGGGGGAGGAAGAGAAATGGATTGGGACGGGATTGGGGTGGTGGTGTAGAGATGTTCATCACGCTTCTCTGGGAGGGGGCTGAGAGAATACTGAATGCGTTTCATTTCCCCTTCCTCATTTGGTCTTGTGCGTTCCAGTCTTGCTTGGTCTTATTTGGTCCTGTGTGGTCGTCCAGCCTGGCATGGTGCGGTTTTTGTATGGTTTTGCCTGGCCTGATCAAGCCGGGTCTTGTGTGATCGTATCTGGTCTGTTCTGGCCAAACAGGGGAGTGGGGAGAAAGATGATCCGGGGAACCAGACAGGAGAGCCACGCCATTCATTAAGCAGTGCGGCGCCCTTCTTCGGCACCTCTCTCGAGGTTGTCTCTTAGGGGGTCTCGGGGGCGTTGTCGGGGGCCTCTTGGGAGCCTCTCGGGGCCCCCATCCTGGGAGCCTCCCGGGCCATCTCGCGGGCTTTTTGAAACCAGATGTGGGGCGCTGGACGAAACTCTCCCCCATTTGGAGCAACCCCTCACGCCCAAGTAATCCAGACAGTTTGTATCTTACAACTTGTTCTGTTTATCTGCGTGTTTCACCCTGGGAAAGAATGTGGCAGTTCCGATCCCGCTGGGGGGGAGGTTGGGACCCCCAGGAAGGGTAAACGACCACCCCACGTGGGATTATCATTGGTGCTCCACGCTGCCGGCAGCGACAGGTCGGCTCTCCATTCACGGTGGTCAGTGACACCAGTCAGTAGCACTGATATCAGTGCACGCTCATTCCACGACGCTGTAGCAGCTCGGGGGTGTTCAATGGTATCAAAGAGATTGCACTCGACAGCGACATCATGCTAATGCACTGGGTATCATGCATACCTCGTTCGAGGCCAAGCGCCTTGCCATGATGTCTAATAGCTCCCAGCGTCCAATAACTGATTCACGGCCGACGCTGCGCAACACTGATTGCATGCGCGGGGCATCTATCCGTTTTAGTTTCATGCTAACCTGGGCGATCGCCACTGCCCTGCCCGCTCACAGCATCGACGCGATTGATGGCATCCCACAAGAGCACACACAGACACACGTATGCTCATGTCTTCAGCTGGGCGACCCCAGTCAGGTGCAGGACGCGGTCGCAAACTACAGGCCGAGGCATATCTGTGAGGGGCAGGCCCATGACATGCACAAAGCCTCCGAGACTGCGGCCGCGCACCACGGCCTCTAGGAGAGTTGTGCGGCACCCAGCCCTCCGCGTTGGAAACTCGGCACCGACGAGTCCAACCCTGAGTGACATGAAACGGCCTCGTTCATCAGCATTCGCACAGTGCCGATCATATGTGAGGCCCACACCTCCTTCTAAGCATTATGTTATGTCTTCCTTTATTCCCTAAACAGATTGTCTGTACGATGCGAGTTTTACATACGTTCTCTGAGAGTAAGGGCGCTGCCAGAACCGGAATCGGTCGGGCGACGTTGTCGCCAATTGTTTCCCATCGCCTCCCGTTGTCTCTCAGTGTGCCTCATTGTCTCCCATTGTTTCCTGTTGCCTCCCATTGTCTATCCTTATATCCATCTCTATTATTATCCCCGTTATCTTCCGTTGCCTCCCATTGGTCTCCCATTGTCTCCCATTGTCTCGCGTTGTATCCCATTGTCTATCCTTATCCGTTTCCCTACCCCTATGCATATTCCTGATCATATCGCTTCCACTCTGCCTCTATCCCTAGCCCTAGCGCTATCCCATGTATCCCGATTCGATCTCCCTATTCCTATCCCAATCGCTGTATCTCTATCGCTATACCCCTATCCCTAAGTTTATGATCCCCATATCCGTATCCTTGCATTCCTAGGCCTATATCCCTATCCCTACCCCCTTCATCGTGGCCCCCGTCGTAGCCGTATAAAGCTGATTGGGGTCTTCTGCCTCAAACGTGTCTTTCTCCCTCCCCGCGACGACAAGCTGCGCGCAGCCTCTAGGTGACGATCCCGGGTCCGCTAAAAGTGACCTAGGGGGCGGAGTGCTCCCCAGACGAGCCTCGATTGCTGCACGTCTGATGTGCACAAGTGTGCAGGTCCTCAGCTGAGCCTTTGTTCCGTTGAGGTGCAATGGAAGTTTAGTGACCGCAGCAATCTAAGAAGCGCGCCATGGTCTCAGGTGTCGGCACCCTGAGGCGGTTGACACTGAAGAGAGGTGCGGACGAGGATGAGGACCGGGAGCGAGACGCGGAGACAAGCAACGATACAGCAAGGTATTATACAGCCGTGCGTGGGCGCTTGTGCAGATCAGTCCAGACGGTACACGCACAGAGGGCCCTCGCGTGCCGAAATAGAACCTGCCTTCCTGCTTTCCAGTCGCATCATATCCCGACGCGTCGAACCTGTGGTTCCTTGTCAAACAGCGTGCTGATACGATCACATTTGTCTTGCCACTGAGCATCGCTCGCAAACTTACCTTGTCTAAGATAAATGTGCGTTTGAAAATGACCAATGCAACAAATTCTTCACGCTTCGCGTATCCCCACCAGCCCATCTCAAAACAGCAAGTCTTGCGAAGCATGCCGACAGTCGTGTTTTCCAGGCGTGTTTCCGCCTGCCCCCGCATATCTCCCCTGTTCCTCCTTCCTCCCGCCTCCTTGTACATCCTCCTTGTGGTGGGAGCGGGAGAAGGACGAGGCGGAGGAGGAGGGAGAGAAAGCGGTGGGAGGCAAGAGGGATTTAGCGGAGACGACGACCACAGCGATGATCCTAACAACGACGACGCACCCGACGACGACGACGATATCGACCGCGACGACGACGACGACCACAACCGCGACGACGACGACGACGACGACGTCGACGACGACGACGACGAAGGCGGCGGCGACGACGACGACGACGACGACGACGACGACGACTGGTGGGAGTCGTTGGGGCCCCTCGTGGGGTGAGTCGTTCGGCCCCATCGTCCTTGTGTGAGTCCTTCGGGCCCCTCTTCCTGGTGTGAGTCGTTCGGGCTCCTCGTGGTGTGAGTCGTTCGGGCCCCTGGTCCTGGTGCGAGCCGTTCGGGCTCCTCGTGGTTTGAGTCGTTCGGGCCTCTCGTCCTGGTGTGAGTCGTTCGGGCCCTTCTTCCTGGTGTGAGTCGTTCGGGCTCTTCGTGGTTTGAGTCGTTCGGGCTCTTCGTCCTGGTGTGAGTCGTTCGGGCTTCTCGTGGTGTGAGTTGTTCGGGCCCTTCGTCCTGGTGTGAGTCGTTCGGGCCCCTCCTCCTGGTGTGAGTCGTTCGGGCTCCTCGTGGTGTGAGTCGTTCGGGGCCCTCGTCCTGGTGTGAGTCGTTCGGGCTCCTCGTGGTGTGAGTCGTTCGGGCGCCTCGTCCTGGTGTGAGTCGTTCGGGCCCCTCCTCCTGGTGTGAGTCGTTCAGGCTCTTCGTGGTGTGAGTCGTTCGGGCCCCTCGTCCTGGTGTGAGTCGTTCGGGCTCCTCGTGGTGTGAGGCGTTCGGGCACCTCGTCCTGGTGCGAGTCTCTTGGGAGCGTCCGGGGGCCCTCTTGGGCGCCTCTCGGAGCGTCTTGGGGGCCTGTTGGGCTCTCTTTTGAGCCTCTTGGGAGCGTCCGGGGGCCCTCTTGGGCGCCTCTTGGAGCGTCTTGGGGGCCTGTTGGGGCCATCTTTGGGGCGATCGGTCGCAGATGGGGCGAGCATTTTTGTCAGTACCCCCGTCGGGGCCACGATCCTCGTGAGGGGTGTCGAATTTTAGCCCTCCCAGGGATAGAAAAAGGACCCTCTGACCACCCGCGAAACCCCCTCTCCAGGTCCAGGGGGAGGGGGTAGGGGGAGGGGTAAACCCCTCCCCGAAGGGGAAGAAGGGGGGTTGAGAACAGAGAGAGCTCGCTAAACCAGTCACGCCCAAAGGGCTGGTGGGATTACTCCCCGCCATCCGCCCTCCTCCATCCTCGTCTTCCTTTTCTCTCCTACCTTCGCCTTCTTCTCACATCCCTTCTCACCTCCGTTATCACCTCCCTTCCCTGTTCTCCCTCCTCTCTCCTCCTTTCTTTCTCCCTCTTGCCTCCCCCTCCCGCGTACTTCCTCATCACTCCTCGACACTCTCTTCTCCCTTCTCCCTGCTACATCCTGCCTCTGCCGCCCGCCTGGCCCTGCCTCCTGCCTCTTGCTGCCTCCCTCCTCTCCTCTCGCCTCTCTCCTCTCGTTTCCGTCCTCCCTCTCGTCTCTTCCCACCTCCTTCCCTACTCCCTCCTCCTTCCCACCTCCCTCCTTCCTCCATGGAGCGGTCTGGCCCACCCAGGCACCAAGCCTTGTGCGGGCGCCTCCGCCGTGGTACTGCGAACGTGCTGGTATGGCGTCATCCCCGACCTGGGGCAGCCCCATGCCACGATCCACACCTCCCGCCCATCCGTCCGCGACGGCGGCACGAAGTACCCGTTCATCGCCCCCCTGAGGCTGCAACGCAGTGGTGGGCACGGCGACAAGGCCGGCAGCGGGGCCGCAGTGGCTGGGACTCTGATGGCCTTTTGTCCACTTTTCCGACCGCTCGCAACACGCCTCGCTCTTTCGCGCCCACGCATTGATGCTCCGTCTTCGACGAGACTGGCTTTGTTCGATTCCTCCCTCCTCTGCCTTGCCCTCCTCCTTCACTCATCCTCTGTCCTCCCTTCCTCCAAACTCGCCTCTGCAAGGTGTGCAAGAACTTTCTCGTCGGCTTCTGCTGCCACGATTGGTTCTCCACTCCGAAGCGGAAGGCGCCAGCTGGGGCAGCAGCGAGGGTGCAAATTGATGATCTGGACTCACGGTCGAACGGGGAGGAACCACAGGGCGAGGGAGGCTGAGGAGGAGGAGGAGGAGGAGGAGAAGGGATGCCTCCTCTCCCATCCCCTCCCCTCCCATTATTCCCAACCATCCTGTGTTGTTCCCCATCTCCAAAGTGGGGTTCTTGTTTCCTCTGGACACCCCGCGCAGGAACAGGAACCCACCATCATCATCACTCATTCCTCACTCACTCACTCACTCATCATCCCTCACTCACTCACTCACTCACTCACTCACTCACTCACTCACTCACTCACTCACTCACTGACTCATCAGCACTCACATATGATAATGATGAGTGTGCGCGTGAGAGAGTGTGATGATCATCATCATCACCAGTCAGTCAGTCAGTCACTCACTCACTCACTCACTCGCCTTGGGCCTCGTCTGTGAGTGAATGGCGAGGAAGTCTCAAGCGGGAGCCCCCTCCCTATGAGGGCTGCGGATCATGTTACTAATCCGAGCGGGTCATCCAATTCTTGTAACTGTCGCCACTTTTGGGTTCTCGCGCTGCCAGAACGCCATTCCCAGGCCACATTTGTGAGTGAATTGCGAGGAAGTCTCAAGCCGGAGCCCCCTCCCTATGGGGCCCGCGGATCATGTTACTAATCCGAGCGGGTCATCCAATTCCTATAGCTGTCGCCACTTTTGGGCTCTCGCGCTGCCAGAACGCCATTCCCAGGCCACATTGTGAATGCCCGGAGGCAACTGTAGGCCACTTCGTGTTCTTCGTGCTCCCAGAACGCCATTCCCAGGCCACATTGTGAATGCCCGGAGGCAACTGTAGGCCACTTAGTGTTCTTCGTGCTCCCAGAACACCACTCCCGGGCCACTTCCTGAATGTCCGGAGCCATAACAGGAGGGCGAGGTCGGGGGCAACGTAGGGAGCGGGGAGAGGGCCCGCGCCAGGGCGAGAAGAAATATACGCAGAAGAGACAGCCAGGATGCCTCACCAACCACGAGGACGACGGTGAGGACTTTTTCCAGATTCGCCCAGAGGATTCTCATGTGGGGTCCCTCCGTCGGAGTAATTGGGTCTTCGTTTTGAAGAGACAGCGCCTCGCGTTCTCCTCCTCTCCTCTCCTCCTCCCCCCCCTCCTCCCTTCTTTCGTCACCCCTTTCACTGTGGCACACCCCTCACACGTTTCGTGGCACCATAGGGAGCTCCACCGAAGGCCGATGTGGGGTGCCCGCATGCGGTCCCCCCACCCAGTACAGTGCTTCGTGGCCCCATAGGGAGCTCCACCGAAGGCCCCCGTGGGGGTGCCCGCATGCGGTCCCCCCATCCAATGCAGCGTTTCGTGGGCCCAGAGGGAGCTCCACCGAAGGCCCTAGGGGGGGTGCCCGCATGCGGTCCCCCCACCCAGTACAGCGCTTCGTGGCCCCATAGGGAGCTCCGCCGAGGGGTGCCCGCATGCGGTCCTTCCACCCATTGCAGCGCTTCGTAGCCCCATAGGGAGCTCCACAGAAGGTCCCAGGGGAACCGCTCGCATGCGCTCTCCACAACCCGTACAGCGCTTCGTGGCCCCCAGCTCCGCCGAAGGCCCCAGGTGGACCGTCCGCATGCGTCCGCCACACCCAGTACAGCGTTTCACGACCTCATAGGGAGCTCCACCGAAGGTCCTAGTGGGACTGCCCGCATGCGTCCCCCCCGCCCAGTACAGCGTTTCGCGGCCCCCTAGGGAGCTCCACCGAAGGCCCCAGTGGCACTGCTGCGTCCCCCCCAACCAGTACAGCGCTTCGTGGCCCCATAGGGAGCTCCAGCGAAGGTCCCAATGTGACCGCCCGCATGCGGTCCCCCCCCCACCCAGAACAGCGCTTCGTGGCCCCATACGGTGGCTCCACCGAAGGCCCCAGTGGCACCGCCCGCATGCGTCCCCCCACTCATTACGGCACGCCCCATCACGCGTTGCGTGACCCACCGGAAGCGGCACCCACAACACGTTTCCCACAACACAATTACATATGGATGGGTCTTTCGCCCGGATTGTTTTGTTTTTTGTTCCCCACATGTTTCGTGGGGTTCTGGTTTTCTTCCCTGCCGCGCCGCACCCGCGTCTCACACATCCCCCCTCCCCTTCTCCTTCTCGCACAGCACAGCACAGCAGCCGTGTCGCACCTGCGGCCCACCTCACCCACCTCATCCCACCCCACCCTTCTCACACAGCAGAGCACAGCACAGCACAGCTCAGCTCAGCACAGCTCAGCACAGCACAGCACAGCTCAGCACAGCACGGAGCTCAGAACAGCACGACACACAGCTCAGCTCAGCTCTTCTCAGCATAGCGCAGCGCAGCACAGCACAGCACAGCGTATCACAGGACAGCGCGGCACAAACACACAGACACCAGAGGGGGTGCGCAGGGGGTGGTCTCCCTATCCGCGCCAGGGTCGTCCAGGCATAGCAGGCGTGGCATTTCCTCGACACCAGAGGGGGTGCGCAGGGGGTGGTCTCCCTATGCGCGCCAGGGTCGTCCAAACATAGCAGGCGTTGCATTTTCTCGACACCAGAGGGGCTGCGCAGGGGGTGGTCTCCCTATGCGCGCCAGGGTCGTCCAGACATAGCAGGCGTGGCATTTTCTCGACACCAGAGGGGGTGCGCAGGGGGTGGTCTCCCTATGCGCGCCAGGGTCGTCCAGGCATAGCAGGCGTGGCATTTTCTCGACACCAGAGGGGTTGCGCAGTGGGTGGTCTCTCTATGCGCGCCAGGGTCGTCCAGACATAGCAGGTGGCATTTTCTCGACACCAGAGGGGGTGCGCAGGGGGTGGTCTCCCTATGCGCGCCAGGGTCGTCCAGGCATAGCAGGCGTGGCATTTTCTCGACACCAGAGGGGGTGCGCAGGGGGTGGTCTCCCTATGCGCGCCAGGGTCGTCCAGGCATAGCAGGCGTGGCATTTTCTCGACACCAGAGGGGGTGCGCAGGGGGTGGTCTCCCTATGCGCGCCAGGGTCGTCCAGGCATAGACAGAGCGCAGGGGGTGGTCATTCGTCCAGGCATTGGCGACACCAGAGGGGGTGCGCGCGCCAGGGTCGTCCAGTGCAGGCGTGGCATCTCGACACCAGGGGGGTGCGCAGGGGGTGGTCTCCCTATGCGCGCCAGGGTCGTCCAGGCATAGCAGGCGTGGCATTTTCTCGACACCAGAGGGGGTGCGCAGGGGGTGGTCTCCCTATGCGCGCCAGGGTCGTCCAGGCATAGCAGGCGTGGCATTTTCTCGACACCAGAGGGGGTGCGCAGGGGGTGGTCTCCCTATGCGCGCCAGGGTCGTCCAGGCATAGCAGGCGTGGCATTTCCTCGACACCAGAGGGGGTGCGCAGGGGGTGGTCTCCCTATGCGCGCCAGGGTCGTCCAGGCATAGCAGGCGTGGCATTTTCTCGACACCAGAGGGGGTGCGCAGGGGGTGGTCTCCCTATGCGCGCCAGGGTCGTCCAGGCATAGCAGGCGTGGCATTTCCTCGACACCAGAGGGGTGCGCAGGGGGTGGTCTCCCTATGCGCGCCAGGAGGCAAGCAGGGTGGCATTTTCTCAGAAGTGGCGTCTCCCTATGCAGGCATAGCAGGTGTTAGTTGGGACACCAGAGGGGGTGCGCAGGGGGTGGTCTCCCTATGCGCGCCAGGGTCGTCCACGCATAGCAGGCGTGGCATTTTCTCGACACCTGAGGAGGTGCTCAGGGGGTGGTCGCCCTACGCGTGCCATGGGTCGGGCAGCAGGCGTGGCATTTTCTCGACACCAGAGGGGGTGCGCAGGGGGTGGTCTCCCTATGCGTGCCAGGGTCGTCCAGGCATAGCAGGCGTGGCATTTCTCGACACCAGAGGGAGTGCGCAGGGGGTGGTCTCCCTATGCGTGCCAGGGTCGTCCAGGCATTGCAGGCGTGGCAGACATAGATGCGACAGGCATAGAGGGGGTGCGCAGGGGGTGGTCTCCCTATGCGTGCCAGGGTCGTCCAGGCATAGCCTCTAGTGCGGGATTGCGTATTACCTCTCGTATCCAAGTGCCAGGCGACGCCGGATATGACCGTCACAGATGACTCCTCAACCCCTCCTCTCCCCCCACACGTCCTCCCCCTCCTTTCAACGACCACAGGGGGCACCTGAGAGCGTGACGGCGGTGGTAGTGGTAGCGCGGTTCACACAAGACATAAAATCAGTATGTGGGGTTCCTCGGTAGCGTAATTGTGCCATCTCCTCGCGGATATGCTCACATCCCGGAACACGAGAATTTGGCCGCCTACCGAAATCGGTTGCACGTTTTCGCCAAATCCTTACAATTATCGAGAGGACCCCCCTCAGTGCAAGCACTGGAGGGGAGAATATGAAGGGGTTGCGCCGACGGCTCCATCCATTTTCGGAGTTGGGTTGCCTGTTAAGGACTGTGTTCCGAAGCTTGCCCGCCGTTGCGCGAGTGCGTCGCTGAAGCTGTGGAATGGCTTTCGTGATCTTCAGCAGCTGGTCTAGGATAGGTCACCTTCTCGCCGTGCTTGGTCTGCCTCGAAGAACGCGCCCTCCGAGTCGACGTGGTCGTGGCCGTGGGCGACAACAGGAGTGAAACTCTCCTGACTGTGGTTGAATTGTGTTTCCTCCAGATGCAGCCGAGCTTGAGGCAGAAAAGCATCCTTCAAGAACATGAGACCCTCTGCTGGCCAAACAGAACGCATTCGAGAGTACCATCCCCCAGGATGCACCATAACATCCAACACTCACGAAGATCATTAGGGTAGCATCCCCGAACCGACCGCGATCTTACAACCCGGCCCGACCGTGTTGTCAGGACGCGTGGCCCACGCAGCACGCGTGACTCATCCAGCATAACATATCCTATGTAGTTATGTTGGCCTAAGCGTGCGTGTGTGTGCACATCAGCATGCTGAGTCAGGACTGTGATTGCAAAGTCTTCTCTTGCACCATAATGGGTTACCTTGCCAGTGCAAAACGATTTGT